GTCGGAAAACTAAAAAAAAAACATTTTATCAAAGTTAAAAAAAAAAATATTATTTCTTATTCCATTTCAGAAAACTTAAGGGAACTCAGAAATGAATGTTATTTTAGGAGAAAGTTGTAAGCTTGTTCATAATATTGCACCAATCGCAAAAAGTATTCCTTTACCAAATGCGTAGAAAAATTTTACTTATTTTTCACAGACTTTTTTAATAGAAAACTTTCAAAATGCTCGCTGTATTGAATGGTATTTATTGTTTCTACATTGAATGATACCATAATACCAAAAAAGTTTGCATTTTTTTATTTTCTTCCATTTGTTTTTTGAGCAATAAATGAATGGGTTAATTGGCAAAAAGTGTTGGACGAAAAATGGTATACAAATAAAGTGAAACAAGGTAAAGTCTTCTACTTACGTTATGCAGGTGTTATTGACAGATCTGAATATGTAGCTGCGGATGTTTGCGCCATTTTGTGTTTTGAGCATTTTAGTGCGCTCATGTGAGCTCTTGCGCGTGGAGTAAACCTACAGTGGGAGTGCGCATTACAACGGCACTATGTGTTTAAAGCTTAAAATTTTAAGTTTTCCCCACTAAAAATCAGATTGTTTTGTTAAAATTAATTAAATTTTTTTATATACATTTTAAGTTTTCCTCACTAAAATCAGATTGTTTTGTTAAAATTAATTAAATTTTTTTATACACAAAATTTGATTTTTATTTCATACAGTTTATTTGACAGCTGTCAACGGCCAAAATTAAAAATTGATATAAAATTTGTGATCAGCGACTTCTAAAACCTATTGGGAGTCATTTTTAGAAATTTTGTTTTAATTTTTAGAGAAAGTGACAGTTCAAATTTAACCTGAACTTCGTGATCAGCGAATCCTAAAACCTAAAGGAGTTCACTTTTAAGATTTTTTTATTTTTATTTTTAGATGAAGGGACAGCTGATTTGACAGCTGTCAATCGTCAAAGTTTAAATGTGCCCTGAAACCTAATGCTTGTTTTTTTTTTTTGGAGAAAGTGCCAGTTGTTTTGCAGCTGTCAACTGTCAAAGTTTAAATTTGACCTGATCAGCGAGTTCTAAATCGTAAGGGGTGTAATTTTTAGTTAGTTTATTTTTATCTTTAGAGCAAACGACAGTTGATTTAACAGCTGTCAACTGTCAAAATACAAATTTTATGGCATATTGGATTCAGCATAACGAAGATATTACAATCCTGAAATTCCATTCACATCGGCGCAGTCTTTCTAATTTTTCGCGAAAAACAAAGTTTTCCGACCACTGTGCCACGTCTAAACTTTAAAGATTGCAACTTTATTTTAAAATTTTAATAAAGAAATGTTTTTATTTATTTATTTTTTTATAAAATAAGAAGAGTATGCCAACTCAGCAAAAAGGATTGTTTTTTTTTTTTAATTTCGAATTCGCCTTAGTTTCTACGTGTGTCCTATATACTTATGTATGTATGTACATATGTAAGTATGTATGCATGCTCGCAACTAATTGCCAATAAGCTTAATTTATACTACATGTTCGCGATATTTATTTTTATGGCAGTGTATTTGTATGTATGTATATGAACAGACCGGATTTAAAAATATCGTATAAAATAAACAGAAGAAAAGTTCAAGCATAAAATAAAAGTAAAAGAAATCGAAAGATAACAAGATGACGCGACGTCTTTGTGTAGCTGCGCTTGGACTTCTACAAATCGTGGCTATGGTATATGCGGCGGGGTGAGTACTTACTTATGATTATTTCGTTTCTACCAAAAAATGTTGCCGTTGCGCGGTGCAAAATGTGTTTGATGTTACACTCAACCCTTTGAAAATGCATGTTTTGCCTTCTTGTCCTTGTCCAGATCACGCATTTCATCATATTATCGTTTTAAGCAACCATCTGATTTTCAGGGCAACCATCTCCGCTGACAAAGCTTCAAAGGGCAGAAAAGGTGCCTTTTTTACCCTACAAGAGTGTGACATTTTAAGAAACGAACTCACAATTTTCTCCACCTTTGCCTTTAATTTCGAATCGAACACGAGAAGAGAAAAGGGCAATCAAAAGGCGACCTTTTTGGTAGAAACGAAATCACCATTAATGTTCTTAGCAGAAACGAGGACAGACTTATTGCGCACAAGTTATTGGAAGCTGGACTCCTCGCTTGTATAGGGCAGTATAATCTCGTGCCTTTCCGCTATGGAGGACTCTCCAGAGTATGAGTTACCCGAAAAGAAGCATCGTTGAGAAGCTTCACTGACTCTCCACTGCTTGAAGTTTAGTTTTCTACTTAATTTCTTAAGTAGGTAATCCTAGGAAGCGGGCCTCCCAGTAAAGATGCTTCCAAATCTGGAGAATTCATTCACGCTTTCGCAGACGTTTTCTCTGAAACGCTTTTTGTCTTTCTGATTTCCAGTTCAGTTTTATAATGTTCCCCCCCCAGCATGCATCTTGATTCTCCGAGCTCTATTAAGGAGTCGACTGTTTGGCGCCATCAGCGCTCTGCTTACAACTTTTCGCATGTATTTAAAATAAAAGCAATACATATCTTTCACAGAAGAAAACATAATTAACTCTAATTGGCGTTCGAATATGTGGAAAAAAACAAGAAAGTAGGCACGAAACCAATTATCAGATAAATTTGTACTGCAGTCATAACTATTCTAGAATCTAGACGAATTGTGAGTGAACTTGGAAGCTGTACATACATATGTATGTACAGTTGTCCACAAAATAATAGGAGTGCGATATTTTGATCCGTTTTGGCTATTTGTCTTCTGTTTATTTTATGTTTATTATTTTGTTATTTTTTTTATAAAAGTCTAACTGGTTGTACAACAAGCTCCATATAAATTATATTTTATATGTTTATGTATATATTTTATATGTTTATGTTGTTAATAAAGGAAAAAAAAAATAAATAAATAAAAAATTTGTATTTGTATAAAAGAAAATTATCGAACACACTTTGTATGAAAAAAACGTGAAACACCTTCAACAAAAAAAAATTCTCAAAAATCAACGGGATTTTTCAGCAACTTGACACTTGCACTTTATGAGACTAGAATTAAATGTGCTACAAAACTGCATAACACAATTTTTTCTAAAGATTTTGATTAAAGAGTTTGAAATTTTGGTGAAAATTTGCAGAATTTTTTTAATTTGTGTACAAAGTTTAAAATGTAAACTTATATGGTGTTTGTGGTATAACCAACTAGACTTTCCTAAAAAAAAATAATAAACATAAAATAAACAAAAGACAAATAACTAAAACCGACTCTTTTGTGGGCAACTGTATGTAGGAATGTAAGTAGGTACGCAATTCACTAAACAAATACAATTTTTAGAAATGCACAAAAATATATATTTAATGAATAATTGCGCCGGGTAAATTTTTATTTGTATAAAGTTCAGATGGTTTCAAAATCGGGCTGATTCTTGTAGAGATGAATATGAAATTCTGGTAACCGTGCATTTGAGATATCAACGCTTTTAATTGGCTACAGAGGTAGCGTATGCGACGGAGAAGAACCCATATCAGCGTATATAGACGCGAAGCTCACGTCCCAATTGTCGACCAAGACGATTTGGCGACGAAGAGTTTTAGTCTCATGGACACTGAGAAGAAAAATTACCCATATTCTCTTGATTTCAAGCTAAAATACATTTGTTTTTCCGCCACACCACCTTATATTTACTCTAATCAGATTTATTATCGGTGAATTTTCACTTCAACATGATTTTGTTCTGCACTTCACAGATCTTTTTTCGGCATTGAGAAAAATCTAAAAAAAATAATAAACAATTATATGCTTCGTCTAAAGGCATTCGAACCCGGACAATACCTGGAGGCAAACAAATAGTAGCAAGCCACTTATGTTTATATTTGTTTAAAAAATTATTTTCCTGTTAAAAAATTTCTAATGTCGCTAACATGGAAAAACGAAAAATGGCACTGTTTGAAAAAATCAAGTTACTTTTTTCTTAGTGCTTGGAATCTCAGTGGTATTTGCCCAATCAAGAAGGGAGATCCTCTCGTTTGCGCCAATTAATCCGAGATAAGTGGATGCTTTCCTAATACAAAGCATTGATATCGCCAACAAATTATTAGATATACAATATACAGGTTAGTTTTTCCAGTTTTGCTGAAGGAAATAGTGACCTCAAGACATTTTTAAGACAAAGAAGTCTAAACGATAACCCAATAAACTTTTCACACGAGAGCAAATTCCATAGCTTATTTAAAAAAAATTATTTCCGTTAATTCCTTAGAATAACTAATTATACAATTGCAAAAAAAATTTTAAGAATTTCTTATGTTTCCTATGGTAGAAAAACCTAATAGTTCCCAGAACCCGCAAGGGCAATAAAATAATTTACATTTCCTACATGATTTGCATTTTAGTGACGACACTCAATGACAAACAAGTGAAAAAAATTTAACCAAACAAAAAAACATTATTTTTGCTTTGTGTGTCGGGAATTCCCTTTCGCTTCGCAATTACTTATACAAAGTGCGCACGTAGCATCCAACTATTAATATATGAATGCTGCTGGCACGTATAGAGGTATATGTAAATGCGAGTGCCCTGCAAGAAATAGAAAGAGTGTGAACAGAACGACGAAAACATCCAAGACAAAAGGTCAACTGAAAAATAAAATATTCAATTTATTAAGGAATACAGAACTGCTTTAATTAACGCGAGTGGAAGAAAATGATTTATTGCTATCGTATCGTATTGATAAAATTTGAAAAAAAAACAATAGATTTTTTACAAAATTCCGGTATAAAAGTATATTTTGCGCTAATTTGCAATCAAATTAAAAATTAATAAAAATTTACACTCCGTTAATTTCATTTAAAATTCCTAAGCTGTGGTTTCCTTTTATTTTTGAGTCGTTATGAAAATGCAATACTATACGAGAATTCCAACCTATACCATAAGCGTACTTTTTTCCCTAAGTGACTCCACTTACTCACGCTCAGTGTACAGACTGGTCCTTCTGCATTGCACTTCAGCTGTTCTTATAATTACAAATATATCGGTTATTTAAAATCACCTCAGTGCCAAGTGATGTGTGTCATTTTCCTATAGGGTGTTTACTTACATATATTTATGAATGTAAGCATCAGTTGCTATCGGTTTTTTTTTTGTTTTGATGCCCGACAGACATCAGCTTTTAAAAAATAGTAAACATTGCAAGACAAATCAAATTTCATGATACATCAGTCGTGCATTAGCGCTTTGAACAACAATCACATACATAAACCTACATTAGGGTGTTTCAGAGCATTAGGGGAATATAATATATTTTATATGTATACATAGTTTTTTCGTTTTGCTCCAGGTAACGTAAATACAAGGTTTAATTGCAGTAGGTTGACGATAATGTATTAATACTGGAAGTTGAACATTTATCGTATTTCGGTTTTCATGAATGCCATTAAGTTGACTAAAGTATTGGTTTTGTATAGTTCACCTTGATCTTCCAGAAACCATAGTTAATCTGGTTAATGCTTCTTGCCAAAATAGCCAAGCATTCGTTTTTGAGAGTCTGCATTACCTGTATTGTTGTTCAACCCATGTTGGTCATTTTATATAAAATGGTAGGTGGCTGTGCCCGGGGTTCAACTCTTGGAAGATATTAAAGATCTTTCTTCCCTGGATCGTTATGGGAGATCTCAGGCTTCAACAACTTCCCAATTATCGGTCGCAGCATTATATAGCACCGCGGATCTACTTTCGCCACATGTTGAGATCGCATTGGTTGGCTTGCCTTGATTCACGTTTACTTTTTTTCTTTGTACCTTGGAAGCCCAGATTCTGTGTTACTTTAAGACTACGTTCGGTAATGAGACCACGGACTTGTTGGGTGCCTTTAGGAAAATGTGCTCTGGTGAAACCCTTGGCCGTACTGAAGGTAATCAACCTGAATCTGAACAAACATTGTTCGCTTCGGTGAATACACTACCGGCATCAGAGTTATTTCAACTATATTGAGAGGAGCTCGAATTTGGAATTCCCGTACCAATGCATACCAGTTAACAATATTAGTGAGGGTGGTTGCACCTGTTACGTTGTTCCCACGGCAAAGCTGCTTATGCAAGTGCCTTAGCAAGGATAAGCTGTTTGAGCTCGCCCTGAGCTATGGGCACGCCAGTATTCTAAAATGCTTCGAGTTCTTACCGACTCTAACAGACAACTGTACGGCGATATTGGGTCCAAAGGGATCTTTCACCACCCATGTTCCAGCGAGAGAGGACTGGGAGAGGTGCAGTATCTGAAAAAGCGATCCTTTAGACGTATTTATTATTAGAGCAAAGCTGAATGGGAGGGTTGCGAAGAGCTCTCGATCAACAAGAAATTAAGGCTACCTGAAGGCGGATATTAAATCCCACAGTCTAGCAGCTATCAGTTGCCTTGGCTTCCTAATGGTTCGTTCAAAAATGGTAAAGGATTGTTTGATCTTCTTATCGACAGCATCCAATTACTTCGCTATTAAGTTCATAAGGGTTCCGGCACAAAGCGAAATTGATTGAAGCTGCATGGCAGATGATGTAAAGACAGGGAACCCTTGAGCAAGTGCTCCCGGGAGAGAAATACTGGCTGTTCCTCTGAACTAATGTGGTGTACTCATGGACAGTTGGGCGTTTGCTCAGTTCAGCGTTCGCTGGACAAAGACCTTGCAATGCTTCTGGCCACGTGTAGACCGTAGGCGGTCTAGGGCGCTCTTGACGCAAAGCAAGTTAAACGTCTCACTATTGATGGGAGTTCTAACTGGCCATTGCGTGATAGGTAAGGCTGAATGTCATCGATGAAAAATGGTTATTTCTTTTGAATAAAGAATGGAATTTGTTTATTTTAAACGATTATAATAAAACAACAGGTAAAAAAAAGATTTGTTTATTATTCTTAAATACACATTCAGCTATGACTTGCTGTAATTAGAATTTAAACAATTATATGGATATATGTATTTGAATTAATATTTAAATATAATCTCCATTGTGTGAAGGAACGCTCATTAGGCACATTAAATTAATCAACTCAATAAATAAAAAAACAAATACATGTTCAAAATCTCATACCTATTCGCATTTACACACGTGCTAGTACAGCAAAAGCCAGACTTAGAAATCAGGTTACGGCACTGAATATGCATAAATTAAATGGCCATAGACTTTTTCCTCAAGCTAAAAAAGTTTCATATTTCATCGCTTTCTTTTTGCTTGCCCTCGAAATATTTAAAACAATTATCAAAAGCAAATAGGGTGAGCTATGAAAACAGAAACCCAAAGTAGCGTCAAGGGGTTATCAAGTACAAGTTGACTTATTGAATTCGTGAGATTAATCAAAATAAAGCTGCATTTACCTTTCGTTTGAACCAAATAGCCATAAATAATATAGGAAAGTATTGAGCAAAAAAACCTTGGTTTTTACCAAATTTTGTGTATATTTCTCTAACAACTTTTCATATAGCAAACAGTAGTATTAGCAAAAAAAAGTTTTATAAATCGACATATCGCACAAAACAGTCCGGAAAGTTTGCGATAATGGGAGAGTAAACAAAATATTTCTTCACATAACACAAAAAAAAAATACAGATACATACACATACAGAAGCGAAAAACCCAATTTTTTTATTTGAGTTGCTACATTTGCAACAAAAAAATGCATAAGGTTTTTTGCATATATAATTTTGATTTTGTGTGTATAATTAATTAGTATGTGCGACAATTTTAAGGCAACGGCCGATAAACCGGATTGTCTTTTATACATGTTTTATCCTACTAAGTAATATTATAATTGTGAAAGTTTGTGTAAGTATGTATATCTGTTGGTCTTTCGCGCTTAAACGGCTAAATGTTTTTCAATGAAATTTGGCACACAGATCGGTTATAATATGAAATAAAGCCGCTTTACAAAGTAAGTTACGTATCATGGAGAGTAGTCGCTCGGAGTAGTTCGGCGCTTGGAAATAACTTCGGCTGCACGTTATTTTGCAACTGACAACGTAATGCATCGTCGGAGGTATTCATTTTGTGCTTTACTAGTAGATGACATTGGTCATAGATGACAATTTTGGTACTAAAAACTGAAAGAGAACATGCTTACCTATTTTCCCAGTGGGATGTGTTAGTTAGTTACACCGACATGACTCTGACATGACTTTGAATGATTCGACTCCGTGCAGTCGAAAGGCGAATCAACACGTACACATATGACTCGCGAGTAAAAGTCTGATTATGGCAACTTAACTTAACGTAACTTAACTTACTTAAGTTACGTTAAGTTTCGCCTGCCCAAATATAAGCACAATCCATTTAAGAGAACTTTTAAGTGACAACCTCTACGTTACGTTAAGTTGCCATAATCAGACCTTTAGACGCCCCTCCTATGGTGCCTATTAAATGGGACTCGAAAAGATTGCATGACTCTTTATACGCGCACAGCAGAGGTGCAATTTCTCTGGTCATGGGTCTGCTAGCGGGTCACATCATTTTAGGGATGTACGCGGGCAGACTCACGCTGCGCTAGACTAACTTCTTCTGGGCTGAAAAACGAGGAAGAGCCTGAATCCGTAAGGGAATATTTTACGAATATCTCGCACTTTTGAGGACAAGAATGAGGTTCATATATTAGTAGGTGATAGAACTTTAAGGGCCTCAGCGATATACTTACGTACATAGGTTCATATTTATTAGGAAAACTGACAGAAGGGAAGAAAATCCTTTTTCACTTAAATTGCTAATGAGAAAGTTACACTTATGTATGTTGACTACGTTATTAAAATACGTACTTATATAGAAAGGAAATTTCAAACAGCCAAATATACAATTTCTAATCGACATGAGTACTAACATAGCTTCATTTCTTTGCAGCCACTATTCAGTTATTGGACCCGGCACTATTCGTTCCAACTTCAAATACAATGTCGCTGTATCTGTGCATAAGGCTGAGGGACCTTGCAAAATCGATGTTGCCATTACAGGTCCCTCGTACAATGAGACAAAAACCGTCGAAGTGCAGCCAATGTCGACGGAAAATGTGGAATTCGATGTGCCCACACTAAAAGAGGGCGACTATAATCTTACGGCAAAAGGTGTTTCTGGCATTACTTTTGAAAATTCGACGAAGCTGAATTATGCCGACTACAAACCCGCTATTTTCATACAAACTGATAAAGCCACCTATAAGCCGGGCGATTTAGTGCAGTTTCGTGTGCTCTTTTTGGATGCTAATACGCGTCCGGCCAAGATTGACAAGCCCATTACAATACTGATTAATGTGAGTATTTTTTTTATTTTTATTTCAACTATGTACTTAGATATTTCAAAAAGTCCATAATATATACATACATCTAATTTTCCTTGCAGGATGGCGCACAGAACCGCATCAAACAGCTGAAAGATGTGAAGCCGACCAAGGGTGTTTATACCGACGAATTTCAGCTCTCCGAACAACCTGTGCTTGGCAATTGGAATATCGATGTACTCATCGATGGCCAGAATCCAGAAACGAAATCCTTTGAGGTGGCCAAATATGTATTGCCCAAATTCGAAGTATCCATTGAGACTGCCAAAGATGTGGCCATTCCTGATGGCGTCATTAAGGTGACCGTACGCTCAAAGTATACCTACGGCAAAGCGGTAAAAGGCAAGGCATCGGTTTCGATTAAACCAATATATCACTATTATGGCAACAACGATCACATGGAAGCAAATAAAACTATCGATGTCGATGGCAAGGGTCATGTAGAATTTGACTTGACTAAAGAATTAGGCATATCTAAAGAACACAGTTATGTGCCGCCACTTAAATTATTGGCCATCATGGAAGAGGAACTCACAGGGAATAAACAAAATGCCACTGCAACAGTTAACTTACACGCGGAACGTTATCGCATTGAGGGCGTCGATGTACCATATACCTACCATCCGGGTAAACCGATAAAAATCACTGTTGTTGTAAAGAATGTGGACGGCTCGCCGGTGCGCGACACAAAGAATAAGGCAAAATTGATTGTAGATCCACCGCGTAACTATATCCTCCGTGGTTTCCGTGGCGAACCGAACGCTGAGGCCACAACTGAAAAGCCAGAAGATATGACTTTGGAATTTGAGTCGAATTTGGATGAACACGGCATGGCGTCTTTTGAGTTTACGCTACCCGAAACTGACCGATACTTCTCGATTAAATGCCAATTTTTAGATACATCAACGTACCTGAATTCAATATCGAAATTTACACAAACCATTGATGCGCCGGAATTGTTGAAGTTGACAGTGAATACGGAAAAGTAAGTGTAAAGAAAGTGGCGCAGCAAGAAGTACTGATTTTTTATTCTACATATTTAATTAATATGTTATGTTGTTTTTTTTTTTTTCTTTCTAAAGGCCACGACTTGGTAAACCCGTTACAGTTGAAGTGAAATCCAGTGAAAGTATTCCGTACTTTGTTTACACCATTGTGGCGCGCGGCAATATTGTAAAGTCGGAACACGTAGACGTGCCTGAAGGACGCAAGTCGCAACTCATTAAATTCTTGCCAACTTTTGAAATGGTGCCGAAAGCAAACTTCTACGTTCATTTTGTCTTCAATAATAATTTAGTCTTTGAAGAGAAGTCTATCGCATTCGAGAAGGAATTCGAAAACTCGGTAAGTGAATCTGAGCATTTGAGGTGTTTACATTTAGTTGGGTCGAGCACAGAAGTTTGTAACAACCCCGGACAGGTAATTTTGGCTAAGAAAGTTGAACGTCTTTTGTAAGACAATTGAAAGACAATATTGAATATTTTGTATTTTGGCAGCGTATTCCAAATACAGATGAATAACGTCGCCTAGGTAAAAGATTGTCGTAAGCGCAATTTTGACGATTTTTAGTTCTAGATGCAGTTATATATTTTGAAATAAGGTCTTCCGATTGGTGTTATTAGCTTTTAGATATCTCCTTTAGTTTCCGAGATATTGACTACAATTTTTTCGATAATTTAGTAAAAATTTAGTTAGTGATGCAGTCATATTAAACTAATCAATATCTTTAAAATGGCGTTCTCCACATTTGGATATCTCCTATAGTTTCTGAGATATTGAGTAAAAAGTGTCGTTAATTTAGTGGAAATTTTGATCACATTTTGTCGTATTTCATACAAAGTGACTGCCAACTTGTGGACAAATGACGCTTACGACAAAATTTTACTAAAGAAAATTCTTCATAAACTCAAAACTAATTAAAAATAAAAATTAAAAAGTAAATAATTTAAGAATTTTTTGAACTAGTAACATTTTCAGAGACTTTGGAGAAAATCTATCTTCGCGTTTTTGAGAAATTGCATTTCAAATTAACATACGACAATATTTTACCCAGGCGACGATAAGTATGTATCATTTTGCTTGCGCTGCGCAAACAGACGCAATGACCGAGTGCGCAAACCACTGGCGAGAGATCAGGGGTTACAATCCTAGGGCAGCGCTTTTATATATATTTATTTAATTTTTATAAACTAGATTTTGCGATTTTATACTTTTAAAGGAACAATATTTTCTTAATTTAATGTAATTTTTAGAATCTTGTTTAATTTTTCTCTTTTATTACAATTATTTTATTTTTTTAATTTAGTTTTCTCTTAAATTTATTTATTTTTTTCTAAATAGAAAAATATTTATGTTTAATTTCTTATAATTTTTAGAATCTTATTAAATTTGTTACTTTTATTTTTAAATTAATTTTCTCTCAAGCTTTAGATTTTATTGTCTTAAAACCAAAAATACCTTTTTGTTCTCACTTAATTTATAGAAGCTTTGTTAATTGTTTTAGTTCGATTTTTTTCGTTTTTGAATTTAGTTTTCTTTTAATTTTTAGTTTTGAGAGAAATGTGTTATTTTATTTCATTTACTTATTGAAACTTTAATTTTCCTTTTCAATTTAACTTTTATGTTTTATGGTTTTAAAACAAAATAATATTTTAAATTAATTTAAATTACGTAAACTTATATTTTTATTTTTTCTTATTTTAATGTAATTATATTTTTTAATTGATTTTAAAATAATAGTTCACTGTTTTAATAAGATTTTTTCGAATTTAATTTATAGAAACTTTCTTAAAATTTTTTAATTTATTTGTTGTCTTAATTTAGTTTAATTTTCAGTTTTTAGTTTTAAAAAGAAAAATAAATATTTTCATTTAATATTTGAAAACTTCATGTTTTAATTAAATTTTTAGATTTTGTTTTAAAACAAAAATATATATTTTTTGAATTTTATATTATTTCCTTGTTTTCTTTTTTTGGTTGAATTGGTTTTCCTTTTTAATGTTGTTTTAAAAAGAATTTTGTTTATTTTAATTTAGTACTTATATAGAACTTTGCTAATAATTTTTAGTATTTGTCAATGTTTGTTTTTTTATTTAATTTTTAGTTTTTGTTGTTTTAATAAGAAAAATTTATATATTTTCTTAATTTTTTCTTTTCTTTTTCTTGATTTTTAAAAAATATTTTATTTTTTGAATTTTTAAATTCAACTTTTAGATTTTATTGTTCTAAACAAAAATATTTATTCAACAATATATTTTTAGTTTTATGAGCTTGAGCCCGTTTTTAATGAAAAATTATTGTGGAAAAACCACAATAGTTTACAATTGGTAGAAATTGTAGCTGCTAATTTGGAAATCACACATCTCCCAATCACTAGGATATGAACCAGCGACTTCGGTTTACAAAGCCAGTGGTCTACCCACCGAGCTAAGTTCGCCACGTAAACTGTTGCTGCTTTTTCCACTTTGTCATATGTCAACCCAACTACAATCAAGGGCAACTATTGTGGTGCTACTTAGACTTGATTATGTGGTTGTTGTTGTTGTTTTTTCAGTTAATTTCTAGAATTTAAACTTGAAGGCACGCTCGCTCTTAAATATTTGCTCCCTCGAGGTAATAAGCAACTGTTTTGGTTTATATAATTTTTTTTTTCGGTACTGTAGTCCTTTTCTTTGTCTTGTATATATATATGTACATATATACACATACCTAATTGAAATATATATATACAAATCATTGATCTCCTCTCTATCTTTCTCTTTCTCTCTATGACAGATCGACATCAGCGCTCAGCCGCAAGCCAAACCTGGCGAAGATGTGCAGCTCCAAATCAAAACCGATCCTGAATCATTTGTTGGACTGTTGGGTGTCGATCAAAGTGTACTACTGCTTAAATCCGGCAATGATATCAACAAAGATCAAATATTCAATAGTTTGAGCAACTTTGAAGCCAGTACACCATGGATGCGTGGCTATGGACGCTATCCGGGCCAAGAGTCTGGTGTGGTAACAATGACAAATGCAAATTATCCCTACAATGATGGTAAGCGAGATCGAAAAAAAAAACAAATTTTTCTTTTTTAATTTGTATAGTATTGTGTAAAACGAGGCACATACTAGTTAAATAGGTAATTATTACATACTACATATACCTATCCCCTTTTTTGGTAATGTGAACCCAAAGAATTATACCTAGTACCACTTGCACTCGCCGATGCTGAGCTAAGCGATGCCTTTTTTGAAACTGAGGTCAATGACGAACCCATACACAGAGATATAAACGATAGAACTATTGATCCCTCAGCCTATGGCATATTGCCAATACGGAAAAATTTTCTAGAATCTTGGATATGGACAATGCATAATAGGTTCGTCCACAGTGTAGTTAATTTGGAAAGGCACAAGAGAGCACTTAATAACTATTACTTAATACACACCGTGGTAACTGAATGCAATAATAACGGTTTCAAGCTAGCCATTGATTAATGGAGCAACTGTTGTACATACATAAATATTTAGAAATGATGCATGTTGGGAGGAAAAGTTTTCAAATAAAATACTTGCTTTTCTAAGATTTAAAATTTCCAAATCAAAAGGAATTTGATATTTTTAGTGCGGTGGAGGGCAACACGACTATACTTCAAGCTTGCATATACTTAAATATATTAGAGTGCACCACTCTCGATAAATAGCAAAAAAAATTGAGACCTACGTGAACTGGACCGATTTGAAAACATCTCCAAAAATATCTTTACTTTGATTCCGTTGATAACATTTTTAAACATTTTTATGCAAACACTTTAAGTTAAGGTGATATTTTTGATTTTTTTTTTATGAAATAATTTTAAGAAAAACACTCCTCGTTTGGATGCATTTTCAAATCGGCGCAGCTCACGTAAATCTTAATATTTATACGAAATATTTATTCCCGTGGAAATATCTCCACTTTTTTTAGTGCGCCGCCCTAACATATACCTACTAAAAGGGACTAGGACACCCTCTATATACCCGAGTATTAATATTGTAAATAAGCTGCAAGTATTTGCAATTGTTGCATTGAAATTGTTGTTGAAAAGCGGCACATTTTTTAGTTTCTTTGCAACATACTATATGTTTAAAGCTTCTCTTGATATCCAATTTTTTCTAGTGTTCAATCATAATCTTGAAGATATCCACGAGATAGAGTTATATTCATTGTCATCGGACGATGAAACAGACTACTCATACTCCAAAGACTCCTTAGACTCCATAGACCGTTTCGATGGTTCAACCAGTGCTACACAGACTTCTGAGACCGCTCCAAAGCTGCGTACAGAATTCAACGAATTATGGATTTGGTATACAAATACAACAGCTAATCTTACTAAAGGGTTAGTTGAAGAGAGAAATTTAAAGTAGAGTGTAATTGTTGTATGCATACGAAGCTGTAGGTATATTATATGGCCATGCAGCGATACAATGAATAGACAACTAATCATTTCCATTAACGTGTTTGTACCTAATGCCGGATTTCCACTGGCCATTAAATGGAAACATTTTGTATGACTAATTTGGGCATCAAAAAACCGGATCGTTGTGTTAAAAATAAAAGTAATTAAGTTTGCTTCCAGTTTGCAATGCTGTGTGCATAATTTAAAAGTTTTTGATTTTAAATCCGCTTTTAGTTAAGAAATCCATTTGATTTGTGATTTGATTAATCGACAAAAAAAAAAAAATTTATTTGTGATTTGATTACTCTGCCGAATAGAAAATAAAATATATTTGTGATTTGACTCAATGGAGAAGTAAAAATTTAATTTAGTTGTGACTTGATTCGTTGGTCAAATAAAAAATAAAATTTAGTCGTGGTTTGGTTCCTCTACTAAATACAAATTTTTAATTTATTTGTTATTTGATTCGCCGAACAAATAGCAAATAAGATTTATTTGAGATTTGATTCTTTGGGCAAATAAAAAATAAATTTTTGTTGCGATTTAATTCTCCAAATAGAAAATTCAATTAGTTGTAATTTGGTTCGTTGGACAAATAAAAACAAAATTATTTGTTATTTGATTTATCAACCAAAAATGAAAGTATTTGTGAATTGATTCGCCAACAAAAAAAAAATGCTTATAACTTGATTTGCATTGAAAAAAGTATTTTTTAGTTGGTAAATCACAAACAAATTGATGTACTCGACAAATCAAATCACGAGTAAGTATTATCTTTTATTTGACCGAAGAATCACAAATAAGTTTAATTTTTTATATGTCCGACGAATCAAATCACAAATAAATTTTATTTCTTATATTATTCAGGACTTGTTACATTTTTCAATTAAACAATCAATTTGGTTTTTGGATTGCTGGTAATTCGGTATAATGCTGTATTTCCACTAGGCATTAAATGGCACACATTTTAATGAAATAGTATGGTATTCAAAAGTATCACAGATGCGATTACGTTAATAATAATTAATAAAAAGAGTCATTAAATTCGCCTTCATATGACGTTTTTTTAATTCCACAAAATTTTTGGTCACCTCATTGCATAGTGGAAATTCGACATACATATGTAAGTGTTGTGTTGTTCTCAAAGAGCATCCGAGCTCGATTGAGAGTATGTGCGAGTATTTGTAGTTAGAAACGTGTAGTTAGATATATATTTGTGGTTGTAATTAACAAAACAGCATTTCCATTTTAATGTTTGTCCTATTGGTTTTTATGCAAATCTCCTCTCCAAGACCAACGAGCTCTTTGACTTTAAAGTGTGGCGAAATGGCAAAAACCCTCCCTATTTAAACAAAACACAAAACTCAGCGCATCTCTATTGTGATTTCTACAACGCTTCAACGTATGCTGTGCATTTCCTTGTGGCATATTTCGGACGCAGTAAAAGTCACAATAGTGATCCTCTGAGTTTTGTGACCTTGTTAGAATAGGAGGGTAAGTGTAAAGCGGTGGTGTCTGTATGTATTATCCTTTTTAAATTTTGATTTAAAAATATTAATTGTGTAATTTTGAATATTTGTATTATGCATAACTATATTTGATTGGATTAATAGTTAGAGGAGGCTGTAGGTCCACTAGTTACCGCTACCTCTATTTGCTTGCAGGACTTCTTAACCTGTCATGTCTTATTAAGTAACAACACGAGGTCCCCTGAGACAATCTCATTTAGGTCATGTACTTCTAAATAGTCACGCTGGTCCAAGGAGACGAAGTCTGAGACTATTTACTAAGAGCTTCGCAGTAATCTTAATGTGCTCTCCTTCTACATCCAGATGTGTATTGTAATTTCAACAAACGGTGCTTCTTGGCAGGCCGATATAGAGTCGTGGATGTGTGAGTGCATGTACAGTCCCATTCTGGGCAAATAAAATAACTGAAATATGAGGTCTTCACTCATTACGATCGATATTAATTGAGAGTAAAATCTGTAAGTCCGTAAACTTTTCAAGAAAGTTCGGTAACTTATGGAAGATTTCAAGTTGAAACCGGGGGGAGATGTCCAGAGAACCATTAAAATTCGGAGAGAGAGTTTCTCCACTCTGATGAAAGGCAACAATAGCGAAAATTATGTAGATTGCGAGGGCTCCGAGCCCGATATTTCCTTTTTTTTTAATTATGATGAGATTAAGGTAGTAAAAGCCGGATTCAAAAGTTATAAACCTACAGGAACCGATGGATTGCCGGAAGAGCTATTCAAATACGGCCGAGAGTAACCGGTGGGATGCATGCAAAATGTATACCTGTTGATTAGAATTGAAGAGTTCTCTTCCCAATTCAGAAAAAAGCTGACCCCACCATTTGCAGCAACTACATCGGGATCATTCCTCGACGAACTGATCGGACCTTTTCATTGTGACTTTAAACCTGGTCTGGGAAAACATCAGCGAGAAGTTAATCTACAAACCCCATCTCTCTTTCGATATTCAGCCTACTCAAAATTAGATAGAAATACGAGGCACGTGGGCCTAGAGAACTTCTCCTCTACTTAAGAACCAGCAATAGCATTAAATTATCCTGGAACTTTTGTGTCATGTGGTCGACTTAGGCAAGTAATAGCAAGCGTAGTTCATTCTAGATAAGTAAATAGCTTCGTATGCATACAAACTCTTCCAAAAAAAAATAGAGATTTAAAATTAATCAATTTGACAATTACATTCTTTTACACACTTACATATGTATGTATACATTCGTACATAGCCTGTGACTTGCATACTGACTTTGGTACTAAGCTCCGCTCTAGAAGTACTTATACTTGCGGTAATGAAAGTGCATCTTTGCATGCCTTAAATAAATGCAAATGAATAATTTTTAACTGTAAATATGTACACACACCCACACTCACACATGCAACTAAAATGCAATAGTTTAATTCTATTTATAGAAATACCACGTTATTATTTCCTGAGAGCCGGTTCTGGTAATCTACCATATTTTATTGATGCTCAACCAATTCCTCGAGTTGGTGGTGGTGTATTTCAATCGAGACTCCCACCGAGAGTAAATACTCTGGTGAAAATTCGTAAAGATTTTACTGAAGCATGGATTTTCGATAGTTTTTCAACTGGTGAAAAGTTAGTTACAATGTAGACTAGTGTTGTATTTTCATATGCACTTGTATATACCACATGTATGTATGTAGATAGCTGTACAGTAAATTTCCAACAACCTTCCCGAAGTTTTCCCTTTAAAAACACTAACTTTTCTATGTAAATGCAAACGTATGTAAATGCAAATACATCGCCTATAATTATGTATATACATAAGTAGTATATACATTAGAATCCATTGTTATATAAATACCCTATAATTGCACTTCTACATATAAATACATATTTATATTAGCCCGGGTCATTTATATTTTAACTATGTAGCAAAAAAACTCTCTTTAGGCGAAGTTTTATAAAAAAAAAAAAACATTGAATATGTTTGGAGGGAAAATGTTGAAAATTCGTTTACCTTCCGGGGTCGGATTTTCGCTCGACGACCCTTGTTAGACAATATGGAGTTTGGCACTCCGTCGTTGCCTGACCTGCAAGTTTCGTCGTCTATTGAAGGGACTGAGAGGTTCGCACCGTTACTATAAATCTGTGGTCATAAGCAACAACCGCTTAAGTCGACTTAAGAAATAATTGAGCTATATATGCTATCGTATTTTGCAACTACTCTAATAGTACTATAGTACTATTCCATGTGTATGTGAAATCCCCATCTCTCGCCAACTGGGCTATTTAAAAAGTTATAGACGAATATATTTTGGTTTCCCCATAAGGTTAACATAACAATCCAAATGTTTAAAACGGTTCTTCTCGAATTTAGGTTTTTTGACTTAGGCGGTTATTGCTTATGACCACAGAAATATAAATATTTGTTCACTTCGTTTTTGTTTTTTTTGCATTTTACAACCAGTATGGGAGTGGCAGAGTTTTGCAGCTTACGGTGGCCCAGTTCTTGACAGTTTTGGTGGTACAGTTTTTCAATTAGCAGCTTTTCCTGCCGGTGCTAGTTCATTTGCGAGCGGTGGTGGCCTTGCCGCTGGCCCGCCAGCTTTAGGTTCTGCGCCTGCTATAGCACCGACTTTGAGACAAAATTTTATGGAGAATTGGATTTTCTTAAACCATGAAAAGTAAAAGAAAAAATTATAAAACATTCAGTAGTATACTGCACAAAACTTAGTTTCGCTTTGTTGGTTTTTACATAGAGATGTATGTAGTCATAATTTTCAAGTACATCATTTAACATATAATTTTATGTACTAATATTATTTACAATTACGCATTTGTAAAAAAAGCATCTATGTATATTTTGACAGTCTTAATCAAATTCTAATTTTTGTTTTTAAAGTCTAACCTTATTTATATGTAGAATGTCAAAAATACGGTGACCCGTACTTTTTTATTTTGAAATCGTGCCGCCATGGCACGCCAGCAAAAACAAATATACTTTTTTTTCGTCGAATAAAAATAATAATACAATAAAAAATTTTACTAACCACTTTTTTATAGTAGATAATCTCATCTCTTATGCACAAAAAATACTTATTTTTGTGTCCCCATAACGCACGTTTTGAAAGAATAATTACTTAAATGTTTGACTTAAATTTACATCATAATTTTGTTCTTGGAAGATTTCTGAAGTGAATTCTTTTTTTTTCGATCAGAGAATATTTATTTTTTAAAGATTTTACCGCAATTTTCAAAAAAAAAAAAATATTATCTACATGCAAAATATAAAGCAAACTAGTACAAACTGATATCGAATTAAAAAAAAATATGCGTCTCCTTGTTTTCGATATTCTTTAGTTCTAGGCGGTGGCAGCACGAAAATTCAAAAAGGTTGACTTTCCTGTGTTTTTTTGACCCAGCCTAATGTACATTGTAGTTAAAACTATGGGAAGTTATATGGATTTTGGCATTTTTTTGTTCATTCACTTAGTCGGAATGCAATTGTTATGTTACTTTCTCTACAATTTTCATAAGTGAGTTGTGTTTTTTGTATTGTTTTTTATTTAATTTATTTGGTCTAACAAAGTTTTTTCATTATGTACCTGCATACATACATTGTGCATCCATTGCGAATTAAGAAGTTTTATGTTTTAATTAAATTAAATACGTTTCATGTGTGCCTTTTTGTGTTGAAATTTGTAGCTTTGTCAATTATTTTTTTTTAATTTTAGGAACGAGCATCTATGAGTATGACCCAAAGTGAGCTAAAAATGTGTAATCTAAACGTTTACGAATACTTTTAAAAAGGCCGGTCAAGCTGATCTATTAAATGGTTAAATACTTTATGATAAAATTGCTCCCTAAATTTTACTTTGGGTCTCTGAAGACTAAGTAGAATTAGGTTTGAAGCTGATTTGGTCACTATCTTTTCATTCAAAAATATGTAGCGCATGGTTAAAAAATTTTGGATAAATCCTGTCTGGCTGGACACAAGACTTATTTTAAGATTATGTTTTTTCTTAAATTTGCTTTTACTTTTTAGAATTTTTTTCTCTAAATAGAAAAAATATATATTGTTTTTATTTATTTGAAATTTGGAAAAAAACCTATTTGTTATACATATATTTTTGTAGACAAATATATTTTTAACCGACTTCCAAAAAAAGGAGGAGGTTATAAATTCGATAGAATATTTTTTTATTTTTCATGTATGTTACCGCATAATTTTGGATTACTACCGTGGCATCTCAAGGGCGGTCCCATATTAATTTGGTTTACACCCGGTCATTGCACTATGAAGAAATTAACGGTACTCCTAAATTTTTATATGAAAATTGAAGTCGGTTGTTTTTGGCTGAAAAATTACTTGGATTCTTCTTTTTAATGTCATTTTTGCAATTTGATTTTTTCAATTTTTATATTTTATTGCTTAAAAATATTTTTTTTTATTTGATTAATTTTTAGGATCATTATCATATGTGACACGTATAGTTAAACGGGACCTACGCGCAGAAAAAAAGATTTCGAGAAAAACGACTTTGAAGTTTACCAAGTTGATTTTGATGCTTCTGAACGTTTTAATGGATTGAAACTCGTTACTCGGGGGTTTTCGGGGTCGCTGATTACGAATCCGATGTTAGTTTTCCAAAATTCAAAATGGCGGATCCAATATGGCGGATGACGTTTTTAAAAATTGATCGGAATCGCTTGAAACTCGTTACTCGGGGGTTTTTGGTGTCGCTGATTACGAATCCGATGTTCGTTTTTAAAAATTCAAAATGGCGGATCCAATATGGCGGAGAAAAATTTAAAATTTGTTCGGATTCATGTGAAACTCAAAAATGTCGTTGACACCGAATTTCGAAAAACTAACATCGGATTCGTAATCAGCGACCCCGAAAACCACCGAGTAACAAGTTTCAAGCGAATTTGATTAATTTCAGAATAGTTTGTCAGTTTTGATTTTGTTTGTACTTTTTTTTTGTGAAAGTACCTTACTTTGAAGTGAAATTGTGAAAAAACTAATGCAGCTAGAAAGCTGGGGTTTTTTGCATTGGAAAGAGCGGCCCGTTTACTATATGAATAGATGAAAAAGTGAAAACCGATTTTTTCTGACCGTAAGTCCCTTTTAACTTTACGTGTCACATATTATATTTTTGTACTTTTTTTTTTAATTTTAATTTAGTTTACTTCTAATTTTTAGGATATATTATTTTAAATAGGAAACCATTTGTTTTTAATTTCATAAAATTTTTTTGGATTTTATTTAATTTTTATAATTATTATTGTTTTCCTTTTTACTTAAATTTTCTGTACTTTTTAGATTTTATTGTTTTAAAAGAAAACATAGTATTTAATATCATTTAATGTTTAGAAACTTAATTTATTGTTTTTTTCTTTTTTGTTTAATCAATTTTTTTTTTAATTAATTTTCTTAAAATTTTTGGTTTTTGTTATTTTAGAAAGAAAAAATATATATTTTTTTAATATCATTTAATTTTTAGAAAACTGATTGCTAAAATACAAACATATAATGCTTAGTCCTCCCCATGGTAGATCTTTGAATTAGTCTTTCGAAAGAATTTCATATTTTGAAAGACTGTGGTGAGTTGAAAGACACTTGCCAGAATTGCCATGTTAACCTAACTTAACCATTACCGAAAAAAATGAAAAAAAAACGTGCAGTTACTTTGATGCAGCTCTAAAAACTGTACAATTCTGTGTATGCAAGGGTTACCGTCCTCCTACACCTATAAAACTTTATACATGCACATAAAGAAGAAAAAATATAGAAGGAATTTTTATCGAATTTCTGATGTTTAAGGACCGTCTTATGACCATATCGAGTACTAACACCAAAAAACATAAACTAAATTTTCAACAAAATTTTCTTTTTGATGATTTATCGAGATGATTTAGAAAGATTTCTGCATAAAAATAAATGTTTGAAAAAAATATTTTGATATTTTCGGGCGCTAGTGATCTATATTTTTATCCGATACAAGAAAAAATCATATTTTCATTTAAATACGTAGAATGTTAAGTTATACCTCAAACCCAAGAAAAAAAGGTTTTGATTTCGCGAAATGAAGTTTTTGGAGGCTATCTAAAATTCTATGCAAAAGATTTTCGTGGTTCATTCTAAATGGACCTTTGGTTTCTTAGAGAGAACTAAAGGCTAAACTCAAGCCCTGTGTTACGTGGTATCTTCGTGCAAGCACATGAAGAAAATAAATACATACTTAATTTTTGACATATTGGAATAAATAACTACCTACATACATATATAGATCCACATAAGGTTCTACTATGGGATAACGATGTGATACTTATGCCACTCGCATTTGAAGAGAATGAAAGTGAGATTGATAGCGAAAGTGTGGGAACCACGAAAGTAACCACGTCAATGAACTTACGTAAAGATTTTGCTGAAGTCTGGATATTCAGCGGCAAAGATATGTAAATAACTTTGTTATACCTACACATACACATACTATACGTAGATATGTAAATCTTTAATATTTTACGTATTGCATGTACGGGGGTATGGTGCTCAAGTAGTAAATATTTGGTTTGTAACGCTCAAAACTTGGTATAAGTATGTAACACTGTTTTGAAAATAATTTAATAGTAAATTTTATTGTATTGTAGCTTAAATATGTGCTGCTTTATTATTGAATTTTATCCAGAGTCTATGTACTTCCTTAAAAAATTGCCTTATTTTTTTTTAAATATGATTTCGCTGCATATCAAACTGACATACAAAATACATATGTATTAAGGATGTCCTCTAAATATCAACATCATAATTTTGTATGAGACATGCCTTTCATTTGTCCCCAGAAAATTTCGAAATTCTAAAATGGTTTTCAATGTTGGCTACTAGGGTTTGCAAAAATAATTTTTTTTTTAGTCGCGAAAATTCGAAATTTTTTTTACTTTGAAGAGCTACAACTCAGTTTTGGGCCGTTCACAACATTTGGTATACCGTTTGACGCATAGCTTAATTGTCTCTCAAATGAATAACTCATTGTAATAAGAGGCCTTATCTGCAAAAAAAAAAGATTACTAAAATCCTACACCGATCACACAAAAATTCCGTTATCTCAAAACCTGCTCATAGAAAAAATTTAAGAAATGGTATTTGAGCTAAGGCAGTCCACAACGATGCTTTCCCATACATACAAGTGCTTCCTGGTTTTTATTAAACTTATCTGTATTTTTTTTAACTAAATTAAGGCGAAGAGAATGCATAGATGCTTTAGTTCTAGTTACACAAATTTTTTTAATTAGTGTCTTCACAATTTTAGGTTGGGTTAGAATGGTTCCGAGTTCCCTTTCGATGTTAAAAATACCAAATTTCCAATTAAACTTTTTTCGCTTTAGGTTCGTGGTCAGTTCTGGTTAGGCTTTGGCGTCGTACAGTGGTGTGGAATTGGAATTTACTGATCAGAATCATCTAGAGCGTTGATTTTTCAATTAATTTGATTCATTGAAACTTATAAAATCTCCGGGCCGTCTTTTAAATTGTTTTTTATTTATTATAAATTTTTTGGCCCAAAGTACAACAGAAGTAAAATTTTTTAAATTTTAGAATAATAAAATGCAAGTTTAAAGTTCAAGAAGAAAATGTCGCAGAAAAAACTTTAAAATAAAAAAAATTACCAAAATTTAAAATAATCTTTCGGTTTTTTGGATTTTTAGAAGTAAAATAGGTAGGACTATGCGAGGCATTTTCTTCCATATTAATTGTACTCGAAATGTTTTTTATATGGAATGCCTAGCTCTGTCAGCTAAAACCCAAAACCGTTAAAAAACGAAGCGACTTCTTACCTACTTACCTAAAACTTTTCCCAAAATTCAAATTATTATTTTTTTGTGATTTTTTTTTTGTGTTTTATCTAAACAAATGAAAATTCAAAAACCGGACTCAACAAGTCCCTCGTAAATTTTATAGGCCTTCATTAAAATAATTAGTTTTTTTTGCATAAAAAAAATAATTGATAAAATTTGTTGAGAAATGAACAATAAACTTTAGTTTCTAAGCACTGTGCATCGTTTAAAATAACTTATAATATCTATTTGAATCCATCTTTATAAGATTCCTCTGTTATGTATATTTTATTATTACCAGAACCAATACTCATGTATTAAGCTCGAAAACGGTTTTATCGTCGGAATAGCCTAGTGTCAGCGCTGAGAGCTTTTACTCTGCCCATTGCAGCTTTTGGGCACGACCAAAACATATCTCACGTATTTAGTATGCTTTTTAAAGCACTGATGGGCACTGCCTTGCCCGCGGGCAAAGCTCTTTTAAGCTTTATATACATTTTGTATAGGTGCGTGCAGAGAAAAAGCTCTCTCTGCCTTTTAAAGCAATCTATACATTTTATATATACTCGCAGAGAGTAAAAGCTCTCACTGATCGTTACTGCCTTATAAAGGCAGACAAGTTGAAAGCTCTCCCTTTTCAATACTGCACGAGATAAGTGACCATCAGGGAGTAAAAGCTCTTTTTTGGAAAGCTTTAAAAAGCTTCTCTTGCTGATTATAACTGCTATGGAGTGATACATATGATATACCAGGTGCGTCATCTGCTCCATAGTTCTATAAGATAGCGTTGTCCTTGTGTCTCAGACGTATATATGTATGTATATACCAAATTTAAGATATTTTCGGGATGTAATTAGCGGTTTTTATACCTTTCATGAGCATGAAATGGTATTATAACTTTGGTCCGATGTTTGTAAGTACCAGAATAAGAAGAGATAGACCCATTAAAGTGTATACTTATATGATCAGATCGTCGAGCTGAGTTGATTTATCCATGTCCGTCTGTCCGTCTGCCCGTCTGTCTGTCTGTTTGTATGCAATTTAGTCTCTCAGTTTTAGAGATATCCGGATCAAATTTGGTAGGTGGGTGTATTTTTATAATGTATTAATCATTTGTCGGAACCGGAAGAATCGGACCACTTTAACATATAGCTCCCATACAACTGATTGTTCAGATATGAGATTTTTCGTTATAACTTCTCCATTTATGCAGCTACGAACATGAAATTTTGCAGCACTTGCACCCATTATCAACAGAATGCTTACGGAGAAAATTACAAAGATCGGTTCATTACAACCTATAGCTCCCATACAACTGATTGTTCAGATATAAAATTTTTCGTTATAACTCCTCCATTTATATAGCTGGGAACAGGAAATTCCGCACTGTTTTCAATAATTATCAACAGAAAACTTACAGTGAAAATTAAAAAGATCGGATAACTATAACCTATAGCTCCCATACAACTGATTGTTCAGATATGAGATTTTTCGTTATAATTCATCCATTTATGTAGCTAGGCACATGAAATTTTGCACTGTGGTCACTATAGCCTGCAGCCCCTATACAACTGATTGTTCAGATAAGAGGTCTTTTATCATAACTCCTCCATTTATGCAGCTAGGAACATGAAATTTCGCACCATTTTCACTCATTATTAACAGAATACTTACAGTGAAAATAACAAGGATCGGGTGACTACAACATATATATTCCATACATCTGATTGTTCAGATATAGGATTTTACTGTAAAACTCCTTTATTTGAACAGCTAAAACCGCTAAATTTCGTAAGATATTTTATAAATAATAATACAAAGTCTACTGAGAAAATCGTCAAAATCTATGCTGTATAAGCTTTATCTCCTATAGCACTGATTGTTCAGATACCAGTTTTTGCGATATATCTCCTTTATGTAGGAAACTAAATCCAAAAAATTGTGTTACCGGTTTACATACCGATCACATAGCAGTGAAAATCACTTAGATTGGTGCCATATAAAGTATATCTTCCATACCTCTGATTGTTTAGATGCGATTTTTTATATAAGTATGTAACTCCTCTATCGATGTATGCAGATGTATTCAAAATCAGTAACCTGTCAAACTAAAATTTGCAGATGTTCATGAAAGGTATGAAGCCTTCGGCATAGCCGAAGACAGCGCTGCTCTTACTTGTTTTGCAATCCTTTGGGCAACACACTTCAAAAACATACAAAAGTCACCTTCCCATAAGTTGTTTTCAGAGCTCATGGTCGCCAGATTTTTTATTTAGTTTTCATGTGCGTTAAATTCATAAAATATTCAATAAGTTTACTGAGTTTGGAAGAAACATTTTTGTTGGGGAAATGAACAACGTGAAAATATCTACATACATATTGGTATACGAAAGATATGTATGTACATATGTATGTAGATTCTAAAGAGAAATATCACCCGCTTATTTCGTATTTATTTCAACTCAATAGAGGCTCAGCTTACATATTGGACCATCTCTCCGATAGCAGAAGAAGAGCTTATTTTCCATGATATTGATATTATTGCCGCAGAAGCCGCAGAAGCCGCTTTCAGAGAAAATGCCATAGATGATATAGCATATTTTGCGGCGCATTTACATGAGCGACGTGTACACCCACCGATACGTACGTACAAAGAGCACACATGGATGTGTTCAGATGTTGAAATGCCACTTGATGCTAAGTAATTGTAAACCACATAAATGCCACTTAACGCTTAACGAACGATGCTTCAACATTTCTACTCCTTTTTAATGCTTCTCTTACACGCGTTTTCCGCCCATTGTGTCATCGAAAAAAAATACTGAAAACTTTTTCATTTGCTATTCACGATCGAAATAAAAATTGTTTTGCTCTCTCTCTCTCTCTCTTTTGGACTCCATAACTTGCAGCTTTGCGCCATCATTATCTTATCAGACATTATCCTATTCAGAAGTATCCATTCGGAAATGATATTTTTCTTCGATCGAGAATAAGCTCACGAGTACGCTACCATCAGAGTCCTTTACCATTTCGTAGACATTATAAAAAAGCCGAAATCGAAACCGAAAATTGGGTAGTAAGACCACCAACACCAGTAATCGCAGTACGCAAAACGTTTTTGGAAAACTGGATATTTGAAACTCTTGAGTAATAAAAACTTGTTAATACTTTTTTATTTAAAGTGCATTGTGCTCGAGAATGCATTGGGTGCATACTTCATTTGGAAATTTCATTTCATAGAACCAAAAAATCGAAGCATTCAAAATTATCAGTCAAAATTAAAACATTGATTTTATGTTAAATTTAGTCTAAGCAGTTATATTTAAGTAAATATTTTTTACGGATGCATGCAATATTTACCTGAATGAATCATTTTTTATAGGTATTAAGGAATAATACCCGCAATCATAGTCAGATCATTTACACTTCCCCTCATGCATTCCAATATATTTTTCAAATAGGCCATAGAAAAACGCGACCTACAGCAGCGGGTTCCAGTGGTGGCCATGTGCCAATTAGTGGCGCTTCCGGTAATCGCAGAGAAACTTCTACAAGCACATGGACGATGACAGCCAGCTGCACCACTGCTGGGCCGCTGGAGGGTGTTGCTGCTTTGGCATTGCAAGCGCGTCACAATTTTATTGAAAATTGGATTTTTGAAAATTTAGGCTTCTTGATGGCGTATGATTTGGCTAAAAAATTTTGTATACTAAATAAGATTTTGAGCGCTATGTAAAGTTTCATTTGTGTGGATAATGTTTTTCTCTAATATTTATTGTGAATGCCTGCTCTTAGTATTTTTATGTATCAATGATTGCCAGCTTTTGTGGTTAACAATTATAATATCTAATTTTTTATTAGATATATTTATGCCAATTTTATTTTTTATACCAGTTTTATATCAGCGTTGTTTGATAGGTTTTAAACCAGGTTTTATCAGTTTTTATATTTATTGTAGTGCAAATGATTGTAAGAGTTTTATAGCAGATTTTATACCAAATTGTCTAGTAGTTTTCTTCTCAAATTTAATAAGAGATTTACACAGAATTTTAAACCAACATAAATTTTTATACGGGTTTTATACCAGTTATTTGTCAGTTTTTATAACAGTTTTTTGTGAGCCAGAGTCAGAGTGTTTAATAGTTTTATTACTTGATTTTTTATTAGATGTAGTTATACCAACTCAATTTTTTATACCAGTTTTATTATCGGCTTTTTTCATTAGGTTTTAAAGAAATTTTTATAGATTTTTATATTGATTGTAATACAAATAATTGTAGAAGTCTTATAACAGTTTTTATACCAAATTTTATACTAGTTTTCTTACCAAATTTTTATAATAGATGGACACAAAATTGTAAACCAACAAAAAACTTTATACGGCTCTTACAACAGTTTTTGTGCAAGTTTCATGCGAGTTTTCGTATTCGCTTCACGCCAGTTTTAAAC